CAGCACTACACAGCACTGTTTTCATGTGTAACAGGTTTACCACTGTAGAAAGCTAACACAACAGCACAAGTTTCTTCTGCGTGTGAAATAACTGGCAGCTCTGCTGCTACTTCAGCCACTACTTTAGTCCAGTCTGGAATTATTTGTACACACATTGACGGTCACAAGATAATGTAACAATATGATTTGGTGTTGTCCCCCCCCCCGACTTTTGTTTCTAAAAGCACCATATGGTTCACATCTGTGGTTTTGACTGAGTGAATGTCTCCACAACTATTAGATGGATTGCCTTGACATTTGGGAGAGACACTCATAAATCATTTTGGCAATGTCAAGTTTTTGATTTGTCCAGTACTCACACATATGAGACTTTAAAATAACCTTTCCACGTTGTCTCTTTTACACTGTCCATGTTGTTATTCTAATAACATAGCTTATGGCTAAAATAATGTTGAGCAACTAAAAAGTAAATAATGGACATGGGCACTTAAAAAATGAACGTCCTGTTCACATTCAAGCAGTTACATATTCACACTTGTTAGCAAGGAAGCAGAAACACTGACAGTCATTTACTTAAGTATTTATACCAACTCTGGTGATTTCATACACCGCTATGTAGGGCCCAACTGTATACCTCTAACGCAAAGAATTAAATGTGTTTCTCACTGCAACCTCTTGTTCTCGCCACAGTTCTGACCACAGCTTTACTTCCCTCACTACGGCCCATAGCTACTGCCCCACTCTGAGCCTCCAAACCCATGCGATATTTTCACAACCCCCTTCCCGGGACACTGGATCACTGTCCAATTATCAGGTTCATTTCAGCCATCTACTGTACCAGAAATCAACACCACAGGCACCCTCCAACACAGCATGCAGCTGTTTTAGCGTGTCTGTGCTTGTGCATGTCTATGTACAAGTCTGTTTTCTAATGCATTTCTTGTCACTGTTAGCAATTCTAGTGCCATCTCTGGCTTAGTGGATGAGCAGTCTGTAAATGAATCATTGTGACAGATATTGTTTACAGGATGTGCTTCACATAGAACATTGCTAGGATCAGTGCAATAGCATGCCAAGTTGTTTTCCTCAGCTACACCAAAGCAGCGGGAGACAGGTGCGACAAGCTGCTCCCTAATATGAAACCCTTGAGGTCGCTTAAGAATGATGCTTACATAACCATTATTTCAATAGAGCCCCAAGTGTTGTGTTGTTTTGTTGTATCACCATGGTTAGTAAATGATACAAACACTCTGCACTTCCTTTTATGAGATAAACGAACTTGCGTAACAGATTGTGAACGCCCTGTTAGACTTTGGTTCTTGTTACCATTGCTAACTCTGAGAGACGAGGCAGTCCAAGTAACTTCAAAACAGTGCTGATTTATTCAAAGGATCATAGGTAAAATTAACATTACACGCTCAGGTATCTTGCACCTCCAAACTGCACGCAGGCAGATGTAAGATGAAAGACCCTGAACCCACCAGGCCTATACATTATATCCCCTCGGTTGGGCTAGCCCCATACTACACAGAAACATCAACCGAGACGTCTTTGTTACCACCTTTGCAGCTGGCCATAGCAGTAGTCAAAACATGAAGCAAATCAATGTGTGTGTGTCTGTTAAGTGGTGTGTAGCTAAAAACATTCTCACACGACCTCTAGTACATGTCGTGACATTAAACATAAGAACATATTATGGCTAAGGCTACAGTTATACACATCATAATAATAATATTAAACACCCTGTCTGCTGACAGTCATCAACTCTTCTCTCTAGTTATCCTTGACCAGATGTACCCTGTAGAAACTCATAAGCATGACTAAGCATTTAACAGTCTAACTAGACATCCTATCTCCACTAAACATTTCTAATACATAAAGTATCTATCCAATATCTATCTGACTAAAAATACCTAACAAGGGAAACAGCAGCCTTGTCCAACATCAACAATGAGTGATGTAGACTCTGCCCACCACCATCTCCAGAACAACATGCGCCAACAGTGGCAGTAACATTTGATGCTTGATCAAACTCTGCAGGTGCGTAACAGTACTCAGGGCCCCGATGGCAACTTGACAACACCTGTGTGCTTCATCAGAGC